GGCAAGTTACACTGATGGACTTTTAGAGGACAAGCTCTTTGAAGAGAGATACGTAGATCTTTCATTATTTACAGACACACTTTTGTGAGTTACTTGAAGAAAGTAATCACATTGTGTTTATCTTATAGACCTGGGCAGTTCATTCTTCCAACAGGAGAGAGGGAGTTCGTGGTGCATAGGAAGCTGACCTGTAGGAATGTCTCTTGGTTTGTCCCTCCCTGCCTCAGAGATGCTGGGCTATTAGAGAATGATCTGAGACAGAGGGAGGTCCTCCTGTCGTGTGTGTTTAGCTGTACCCCCTGGGTACATTTTATGATTTCATGTCACTGCTCTATATTAACTGTTGGTCATCATTCAGCAGACTGGTGAGCTCCTACTTTCTGTAAGTGTTTTCATCAGAAACGCAGCTTGCATGCAAGCAGGGGCCTAGCTATGTGTTTGGCCGCTTTGTCACAGATAAGGTGGCTATCTGTGTTTGGAGTTGTTTCTGCATCTTCTAATTTGTTTCATTGATCCTCAACTCTTTTCATTTTTTTGGCAGTACCATTTTTTAAATCACAACAGTGTTGTAATATAATTTCGATTAAGGGATTGTGATGGACCCTGCCTTGCCATTGTTGCCAGGAATTGTTCTTTCTGTTCTATGTCTCTTTTCATTCCAAATGAATTCTAGGAATGTGTTCACTAGTTCTGTGAGATATGCTAATTTTAATTCACTGGGATTGCATTAAATCTGTATAACAATTAGGGAGTATGGCCATTTTCACTATGTTAATTCTTCCTACCCATGAGCAAGGGATAGCTTTCCGTTTTCTGATATCCTCTTTGATCTGCTCTTTCAGAGTACTGTAGTTTTCATTGTATAGATCTTTTACTTTGTTAGATATTTTTTTTTACATGTATTTGGTATAGGGTCTCACTCTGCAGGTCAGACTCATGATGATCTTTCTCTTTTCAGCACCCCGAGTGTTTAGTCAGCTGAGTTATCTCGCCCATCCTAGATTGATTTTTAAATATTTCATTTTTGGGGTGTTCCTGTGAAAAGTGTGGTTTCCCTCATTTTTTTCCTCAGTGTGTTTGTTGTTCATGTATAGGGATGCTATTGATTTTTGAATGTTGACTTTGGATACAGCTACACTTCTCAATTTGGTTATTAGAACTATAAGAGGCCAAATACATTCACTGGAAGAAAGTCAGCCTCTTTGATAATTGGTGCTGGAAACTTGGCTTTCCACACACCAATGACTAAAGCTCAACCTATGTCCCTCCATGCACTAAATTCAAATCAAATTAGAATAAAAATATAAATATTAAAATACAAACACTAAGTCATCTGGAAAAGAAATGGGTAAAACTCCTGAACACAGAAGTAGGCAAGGATTTATTAATAAAATCCCATGACAAAGGAAATGCCACAAAGAAAAAAAAAGCAGGGACCTCATCTTATTAAAAAGCTTTTGTGCAGTGAAAGAAAAAACAACTCAGAGTGGGAAAAAATCTAAGCCAGTTGCTCCTCAGATGAATATCTGGAATTTATAAAGAATTGAAAAAAACAGACCTCCCCAATTTAAAGACCCAATAAAAAAAATGGGCATATGAAATAAACATTCACTTCTTAGAGGAAGAAGTAAAAATGACAAATAATTATATGAACAATGTTCAAGGTCGTTGGTCATTTGCAAAGTTCAAGATAAAAGAACACTGAGATTCTATCTCACTCCAGAAAGAATGACTATTATCCATTAATCACCTACTAAAAAATGCTGGCATACCTGTGGGCCAAAAGGAATCTTTCTCCACTGTTGGTGGGAGTGTAGACTGCTGTACCCATAGTGGAAATCAGTGTATAGATTCCTCAAAAAGGTAGGATTAAAGGTAACATTTTGACCTAGCTATTCCTCTTCTGAGTATCTTCCCAGAAGAATTGAAAATGTCATACCTCAGCAATATGTGTGGACTCATATTCATAAAAGTATAATTTGTAATAGCTAAATCTTTGAAACAACCCAAATGTCCATCAATAGAGAGGTGGATGAAAGAGATCTGTTTCTTAAAAGACACAATAGAGTGCTATCACTAATAAAGAAAAATAAACTTGAGACATTTGTAGCTACATGAATGGATCTCAAGACTGAAATGTTAGGTGAAGTAAATTGAAAACACATGAGTGAATATCATGTTGTCTCTCTGTGAGGAATGAAACAAAAATTAAGGACAAAAATGCACAATAGACATAATGAAACATGAGGACTTGTTCTCCATTTCTTGGGTGTTATTGTGGAAGGCATGGTTTCCCTAATTTCTCTCGGTGTGCTTATTATTTGTGTATGGGGATGCTATTGATTTGTGAGTTTCAATTTTGTATCCAGCTACACTACTGAATTTGTTTACTAGATCTAGGAGTTTCTCAATGCGGTTTTGGGATCTTTGTGTAGAATATCAGGTCATCTGGGAGTAATGGTAAGTTTAACTGTTTTCCTTCCAATCTTATTCCTTTTATTTCTCTCTCTTGTATCATTGCTCTGGCTGATGTTTCCAGAACTATACTGAATAGGATGGTAATGGTGTATAGCCTAGTTTTATACCTGGTTTTAGAGTCAAAGCTTTCAGGTTTTGACCATTTAGTATGACATTGGCTGTTCATTTGTCATATATGGCTTTTATCACATTGAGATAAAGTCTATCTAGTCTGATTTTCTGTAGGGTTTTTACCCTAAATGGTGGTTGAATTTTGTCAGATGTTTTCTCTTTTTTTTTTTTTTTTTTTTTGCATCTACTGAGAGGCCCCCCTAGGAAGTTTCTGTTCCTCAGAGATGTTTTCTGGATATACGTAGTTCTTGGTCTTTCTGTCTATGCCAAGAACCTACTTTCTCCATTTATTAAGGAGAAGATGTTGCTTTCTATGTGGCTCTTCACTGAGCCCCTCAGTGCTGATCTATGGTGATAGTTATAATCCCAGGCAACCACAGTGGTGTCATATGATGGGGAAAACCTGACTGTATTGTGTGCAACACTCTGGGTAAAGTAGAGAAACTAGTAATAACGGAGGCATCGGGCATAGCCTCACAACTGACAAGCTGTGGTAATTATTAATTTTCTACTTTGAATCATCAGAGCAACTCTACAGTTGTATAAGGAAATCCCACATATACCAGGAACTTGTGTGCAAAGACTTTCCAGTAGTAGAGTGATTTTACCCCATATGGGGAGATTTAGAAGGACTGGGGGAAAACAGGGACAAAGAGAAACATGTTAAAAGGAAGGCTGAAGTGCACAAGATGTTCAGCCAGGTTTTAGGAAACTAGAGAAAAGCACGAGAGAGAACAAATAAGAGAAAACCAAAGAGTACTGAAATGAACCAGAAAGATACAGTGTTCACTTGAATGCAAACATAAAATCAAGAGAGATAGCTGAGGAAGAGAGAAAGAAAATGCACAGAAGAAAAGAAAAATAAAATGAGACCTAAATAGATAGAAATCCCAACCAGATAGAAAAAGGAAAACCATCCAAAGAAATGAAGAGAAATAACGAAGTTCCTCGAGTGTCCACAGTCCTGCAGTGGTGCCAAAGTTGGAACCCAGAAATGTGCTGACCATACCAGGACTGCAGTAGGGTTTGTGCTAGGAGCGGGGCTGATCTTGGCCTCGGCGTGTGTGGACCGGGGCGGGCCTTCAGTGACAGTCTTCTAGACGGGCCCTTCTCCTTACCAAGGTTGGATCTACAGATCTTTCCCAGTTTCTGTAGCACCCTTAGGGAAGCCTGGGACTGATCTTAGACCAGCGTCAGCTGAGTCCTTCTGGACTTGCACAGCATCCTGTGTTCCACACCACTCACCCTTCTTACATGCTGGCCATGGGGGAGGGGTTGTCCCGCTGTAGGTCCAGGTTGCTTGCCCACTTGTGCTGCTGGCCCCAGGCCACTCTGCTGGTCACAGACCAGAGGGACACACCCAGTTCTTTGTATTTAGGAATCAGACCAGCTTTCAGCGGTCACGAGAGTGAAGTCTGGGTAGTTCAGCCTCTCCCTCTCTGCAGAATTCCCCGTGTATGCTTCCCAAGTGCCAGGAGTCTACTATGACTGAATGGCTCTTGCCTCGCACCACTCAACCCCGGCAGTGAAGCAACCCAGGACTGTGGAGCTCCTCGATTCACCCTGAAACCTTTAAAATAAAATGGTGGTCCCCATGAGGGATTCTGTTCTATGCCTACATGTGCTTGGACACAGCCCCAGTTCACCTTTCTTACCAAAAGATAGCTTCATGGGGCTCCTCAGGAAACAGTGTCTGGGAATCTCCCTGCTGCTTCTGACTGTTCACTGTTGCAGCAGTGGTCCCCCACGCTGCTGTGCCAGCCGCTGCTCCATGGCAGCAATCGAGAGCACCCCTAACTTCTTTTAATATCCTTGGAATTAGGAACCACTCAGAATAGGCTAAGTTTTAGCTTGAGTACACAGTAGACACTGCCTTTCATATCTGCAAAAACATGAGTGAATCTTCCAGCCTGCTGCGATCCACAATTTGCATCAATGCAAAGACAAAACAATATTGCAATATGAATGGAAGAAAGTGCTGACGTACACCCAATGGGTCTGCAGATTTTTGCCAACTTGGTTACGTAAACATCCTACATATTTGAGAATGACCAATTTGGAATGTGAGGTTTTGTTGTGTTTAGTAGGATTGAATTTAATTGCAGTTATGTACACACAAATGTTTGTATTATTAAACTATTTATTCTTCACTGTATAAATTTATAATATTTTTAAATTGGATGCATGATCCATTAAAATTCTTAAGATCTGAAAGAATGTGAATGTGCATATAATAAACAAAATAAGCTTGTTTTTCAAGAAAATAATTATTCTCAATAATCTTCAAGGACAAATTGCTCCAAAATTACAGAATATGAGACACTTGTACTTTGATTTCAGTACAATTTCTTTAGGATTCTATTTCTTCTATTGCTTTGCTACAGAGCATGTAGAGGTTGTAGACAACACTGATGGAGAACAGGACACAGGTGACAGCCTTCCTCCTGCTGGGCCTGACCGACGACCCCCGCCTGCGGCTGCCCCTCTTCCTCACCTTCCTCCTCATCTACGTCATCACTGTGCTTGGGAACCTGGGCTTGGTCCTGCTGATCCTGCTGGACCTGCGTCTGCACAGCCCCATGTACTTCTTCCTCGGGAACCTGGCGCTGGTGGACTTCTGCTCCTCCTCGGTTGTCACTCCCACAGTCATGACTGAACTGCTTACAGGAAACAAGGTCATTTCTTATAATGCCTGTGCCGCTCAGATGTTCCTGTTTGCAGCCCTCATTTGCTCAGAAAATTACCTCATGGCTGCCATGGCCTTTGACCGCTATGCGGCAGTGTGCAGACCCCTGCACTACACCACCACCATGACCAAGAGTGTGTGCATAGGGCTCATCTCCGGCTGCTATGCCTGCTCCTTCCTGAATGCCTGCATCCAAACTGGGGACACATTTAGTCTCTCCTATTGTAAATCCAATTTGGTCCATCATTTTTTCTGTGATATTCCAGCACTCATGGCTCTGTCCTGCTCTGATAAGCATATTACTGAGCTGGTTCTTGTTTATCTCGTGAGCTTCCATATCTTTTTTGCCATGTTTGTTATTTCAACATCCTACGTCTTCATTTTTGTCACCATCCTGAGGATGCACTCGGCTGCAGGACATCGCAAGGCGCTGTCCACCTGTGCCTCCCACTTCACTGCCGTCTCCATCTTCTACGGCACTAATATCTTCATGTACTTACGGCCCACCGCCAGTCATTCCATGGACAATGATAAAATCTCCTCTGTGTTCTACACTATCATCATCCCCATGCTCAATCCCATGGTCTACAGCCTGAGGAACAAAGAGGTCAAGAACGCGTTCTTAAAAGTCAAGCATATATTTATCTTGTAAAAGCCAAGTAAGATATAGAATTTTGATTGTACCTTTATAGATGCGCCACGCCTTTGACAAGTACCGAGTTACATTTTGAGGCCCACATTGATGGCAATACTCTCACTTGGGAGAAGTATTTTTGCATTAAAAAAATATTCTACCTGTGATTAATACAGCTTAAGAATGGTGAAGATAGCCTGGGGTTTGTTGTCTACACCATCTTTAAGGGTATTGATTATGTAGGTAGTAGAGGTGTTCTTTTCCATACCTCAGGTTAATGCAAATATGCAGGCAATAGGTCAGAGATGCACATAAACAAAACAATGTCCACAGGGGTCTTGTGGTGTCAATGGCCAAAGGGGTCTCATAATGAGAAATGGACATTGTAGATTTTTTTCCAAACTTAAATATTGTGTGCTAATGTGGCAGTTAATTTCATGTATTTATTTAACTGGGTGAAGAGATTTGCTGGCTAGGAGAGGGCCAGAAGATAATTTTATTGTTTGTGTTGTGTTTCCAGAAGAGCCTAGTGGCTGGAATACTGAATTAGAAGAATGATCTGTCACCTTCACTGTGAGAACCAACTCACTTGCCCTCCCCCTCCCCTCCTCTCCCTCCCCCTCCCCTCCTCTCCCT